AAAAAAAAAAAAAAAAAAAAAAAAAAATCAGCCTGAGGCAGAGAACTGGTATGGGTAATCTCAGTCTATGTTGTTAATGTTTGGCAAAGCTTTACGTGACTTAAAGCTGGTTTTTAAAATGGGAGGTGCTTGGCAACTGTGATAATGGGTAGGGTTGGTAACACCACCTTATAAAGCAGATTTGGCTCTGAGAAATTCTTGTTTAAAGCTTGTAGCCTTCATTGGAATAAGAAATAAACTGTGTTGCATTGTTCAGCATAAATGTCACAATAGTTGTGCATGTTTAACTTTTTCTATAATTTAAATCTAAATTTAACCACATGGAAAGAATATCAGATGTCAAAAAAATTCTGCTGGCGAGGGGAAAATTTTGTAACCCAAAGAATGTATTCTCATTTGGTACTAAATTACCCAGAAGCAATTACTAATGAGCTATCTCTCTTGTACCCAAAAGGAGTTTGCCCTTACAAAAACAGAAGAGAGTGATTTAAAAGAAGAGAAGGGGAAAGAGTCAGTAACTGAGGATGATGCTGATGCTGAAGACTTAGAAGTGTTTTATCCAACAAATCGGTGGCAAACAGTCCATCCAGGTAATACTGCTGGTTAATTATAATGTACCTGTGAAACCACATATTGCTCCTCTGACAAAAATTTCATAGAAACCAAAAAATTCCATAGAATCCAACTTCATTTTTGGGCTTCAAACAGAGAGGTCTCTTGTAGACAGCCCCAGTTAAGGTGAGAAGATCACTACAAAATCAGTTTTCAATGGGAACTGCTGCTGAAGCACTTCCAGTTTACCGAAACAAACTTAACAGACTGTCAGTTAAGTAGATAGGTGGTGATGTGCCTCTATCACTTGTTCAGGAGTCCTTTCTCTTTTTGCGCACTTGTCAAGAGACAGATTTTATAATATTCATTGGCACGCACTGTTCTGGTATGCTGTGCTCTTTTCTGGCTTTTTTAAATATTACTTGGTAGCAAACTTGTCGTTAAGAGTAGTAATGTCACCTTGCACAGTTTTTTTTGAAGAGTTTCTAATCCGTTTGTAGTTGAAGTTCAGTTTGAGACTCTCTTAAATCTGAAACTTCTGTTCTAGGAAAAAAAAGCATCTTGCTTAATTTTGGTATGCATCTAATCTTGAGTGAGCTTTAAAAAAGTTTCTTCCTGAATTTTCCATAAAACTCATCTCATCTGAATCTTCCGGGATGCTGGAGTTGTCATATTGTAACAGTCTGAGTCATTTTACACATGCAGGAGTGATTTCACAGCTAGCAAATCTACAATAACAACCAGTGGATTTCCACAGAGTAAAAAGAATTTCAAAAACATAAATTAGCCTATTTTTATGCTGGATGCCATTTGTGGCTGTGAGCGGGTATGTACCTCCATCCCACTGCCATGCTGGAATTCCACTGACCTCCATCTCATCCTCCCATTCATCTGCCATGCCTTGATGGTAAAATTATATTTGGGAGGATGGATGATTCTTTCAGTGAAGTTCAGTCTGACAGGGTCACTGGTCTTCTGTATGGCTACACCTCCCCTACACCCTGCCCATTTCCTCTTGGGTTGATGGTAGATACTCCTCGTTCATCTGGAAAGGGGGATGTCTAGTAAATTCCCTTCTTAGGTTCTGCTGAGTTCTTTAACCCACAGCTCCTTGGCCGCCTCTGCCTCTGGCTGAATCTCTCCTTGAGTTGGATATCAGGTTATCCCTGTGGATGCCCTCTCTCCTCTTTCTTTCTCTCTGTCTTTATCTCTGTGCCTTCCTTCGTGGGATTCAGTTTCTGTAATTATACATGGATCAACTTAACTCTTTCCTGTCTCTTCCTGGCCTTACTTCAGGCCTTACAAACTTAATTGCTTTGAAGACCCCAGGTGCAGGATATAGAATCCTGCTTAACTATAAATCAAACCCTTGTGGAATCCTTCTCTCCAGCTCTCTTTGTTTACACAAGGAAAGTAAAATCAAAGGGGAATTTCTTATTCTCAGCCTCCAATTCTTCAAATTCCTTCACAAAAAAATGATCACTCTTGTTTCTTCCCAGTTCTGATGGCTTAGTTAGGCTGTCACCATCCAGTTTATACCCTGCTCTCCTTCTCCTTGGCATGCTGTGTAAATTCCTTCTTTGCTCTGGCCATCTGAATTTCCCTCTAGACCCCTGCTTCTCTTAATGGGTCCATATTTTCCCTCTACCTGGTGGGCTTCTGCCCGCTATCCTACGGGGATATCCCACCTAGTTCTGTCTCTAGGGCTTTGCTCTCAGTACCCCACCATCTGCTTTTAGATATCTTTCTGGGAAGGCATGGGTGATCCTTGCTCATGATGGTCCAGCTGGCTGGGATCTCTTCTTAAATCTTCACAGCTCCCAGTCTCGCTGGTTGGTTCCTGCTCTGGGGGATACTGAACACCAAGCCTTTCTTTGGCATCCTCTTTTAAACTGCCTGGTTCTCTCTCCAGGGCAGTAGGTGCAGGCTCCCTGGGTACATATTCTCATGCCCCCAGGGCCTGCCTGTTTCCCAGGTTTTCCCTGGACCCTCTTCCTGAGCACTCGGGGGATGTGCTGCTCACCCAGACCCATCCCACTAAGCTTCATGCCGGCACTGTCAGCTCTGTGGGAGAATAGCAGGGGCTTGGCCCTGGCCCTAGCCCTTGCTACAGTGGCCTGTTGTGATATGTGGCTGTGGCAGGAATCTCTACTCGGTCACATTTTGGGTGTTAAGTGTTTGGGGTTTTGAGGGGTTTTTTAGTAAAGATGATAAAGGTTGGCCTACTTTTATATAAAGAGTTTATGCTTATTCTTTCAGGAGTCTTTTTGTTTCATGTATAGTAATAATAGCTATCAGCATCAACTGAGGGGGGAATATATTCCTTAGAATATAGATGCCAAAACTTTGTGACAGTGGGGCTTCATTGTCAGCTTGTCAAGAGCCTGAGGATCATGTAATTTTGTGTATGCATATGTCTGGTATAAATGCACACAGTCTTTGATTTTATTCCTTGACAGAATTTGCCGTTTGCTTTTGTTCACAACCATTAGAAAATTGTAGATGAACTTTGTTCTCATTGGGTAATTACAAACATCTGGGCAGGTTAAATCAGGTTCAAAATGGCCACCTGATTTAAACTTGGCTCATCCTGGTGCTGTATCAGTGAGCACCAATTAGTCTAAACCTGTAAGTGTACAGAAGTTCCATGAACACAAAATGGTCTAAAAATTGCCAATCCAGGTTTATCATAAAGCGGGTTCTATGTAGTATCAGACTTGCTCAATTTTATGTCAGACTGGTGCATGGATCTTTTGTCCACTTCCTTTGCGTAGCCAAGGGGCTGGAAAAACCCAGCTACTGGCCCAAGCCCCAGGGCTGGTCTTTTCACTCCCCTTCTCCCCCCACACTAGTCTCTTTGCATCTCTTCCCCCCAGCCCCTTGCTTCTCCCACCCCCCTGCCCGCCAGCCCTCTCAACTGCCATCTCGTGCTTTTATCAGCATTCACTAGTGCTGGAGCCCAGTAAGTCCTGGTGGGGGGAGGGGTGGGAGGAATGGGGGTGTAGGTTTGTTGGGGGAGACCCCATCGCACCCAGGAGTTGCATCTGCCCCCCCACGCCACCCACCAGTCGTGCCTGCCTCCCCTACTTCCTGCGGGTGGTGCCTGCCCCCCCCTACCCCACATGCAGGTTGTGCCTACCTCCAATCCCCCTCCAGCCTGCTGTACCTGCAGCCTCCCAGCTAGCCCCCCCCCATCGTGATTTCCCTGATATTGTGCAGCCATTTTGAATCTATTATAACCTCCCCCTAATGCTTTTGAATGTCTGTACTTGGCCGTTACGAAAAAAAATTACTAGGGAAAGCAGCCATAATCTGAGTTCGCCTTTTGGACAGTACTTTAAAAAAAAAAAAAACAAAAAACAACCAACCAAACAAAAAAAACCAAAAAAAAACCCCCTCCACTTTTTGGAATACCCATTTTAAAATCTACCCTCCATTCACATGTTTTTGTGTGCAGCACCTTCAAAGTCGCGCTAATCTTCCTATAAACTTAGTAGGTTATCAGTTCTGTTAGGCCATAAAAATTACCAAAGCAATACAATATAAATATATTTGTGTTTTGATATAGAAGTATTCGGTCATCTTCAAGGAAAATGAGAACAATGTAGCAGACTACAGAAATAAACTTTCCATATTTATTCTAAATTTCTTTTGAAGTCTTCAAAAGACACTTCTGGGTGAATTTTTTCCCCCCACAACTTCACTGTAGAACCAAGCTGAGCTATAATTTGCATATAAACTTGACTGAGATAACACAACCCCAGCTTTTCTATTACAGTACCAGGTCCTTTC